CAACTAAAAACCTTAAAAGGTCTTCATTTTGAACTTTCACCAACAACTAGAAATACACAAAGATAGGAAAAACATAACGATACAAAAATAAAAGACGCCTCTGTAATAATTATTATAAAGCCTAGTCAACACCCATTGAACTGACGAAGGAAACAAATGATTTTAAAGTAACTAGCCCATCTGCTAACATGCCATCACAGGCACCGATCTGAATTCAACCCTCCAACATTCTTTAAACACTTGGTGTAATTCCTCCTCAAATAACAATGTAAATAACCAATAGGATTTGAAAACACAGCCCAATGGTCCTGGGGCATCCACAAGGGATTATCTTGGACAAAATCTACCATTTTGTCTTAAGTAATTGAAAACATTCGAAATGCATTATTAGCAGCCCTGCATATCCTCTCATTAGAAACAAAGATACTGCACATGACTAGATTAGCTTTTGAAAAAGTTATTCATTGGGAAACAAGCTTCCGCAAACTTCATCATACAAACATGGACTGCATAAGTGTTAAAAAAATTATAAATTTTCAATCCCAATTATTTCTCCCGGCGCCTTCAAAACCTTTCTCTTCGCTCCCTCAAATAGGCTCACTCATTTCAATGAGCTTACTTACAATCCCAAGTAGATTGCTCAAAAGATAAGAATATATACAATTCTAAGAAAAAGAAGAAACCTTTTTCTTCTTCACAGGTTTTAGAATCTTGATAATGCACTTCTCATTGTCCGTCGTGTGAACGCCTTCGAAAACCTCGCTGTATTTTCCCCTACCCACCTTCCTCACCACCTCATAATCATCCTGCTCCCTGAAACGACCAATCAAAGCCCGCCGGGCAATCAGAAAAGAGAACCCAATGGATAGATCGAACATAAATATAAATCAACAACCAATTAACTAAAGGCCCAAATTTAATTACCCCCATTGAACGGTGAGTGACTCGTAGTCCCAATATTCCTTAGGGCGTATGACATTGACGTCGGGGTAGGCCCGCGCCTTCGACGGGGCGCCGGAACGTCGAATGGCTTTGCCGATCCTCTGAGCCATGGATTCAGGCAGGGACACGACGGAGGGGCGGCGGGTGGAGGAAAATTCGGTCTCCGGCTGTAAAAGCGGCGTCTTCGGCTGTTCCTTTTGTCGGTAGAGCTTGATTTGTTGACAGTGGTGTTGCGCGACGACAAGTGGAGTTCCGGAGGCCGCGCGGCGGGGCAGAAAGAAGGCGGAGGAAGAGAGGTGCTGGCGAAGAGCGATGAGCACGAATGGCCTTACGGCCATTAAATGTGAGTTGTGCTACTTTTTATCGAGTTGTTTTTCCAAATTTTCCTTTTGTTGTGATTGCTACAGGATTCCTGATAGGGAATCTTTAGATCTTTTACGAGTTCCTGCGACGTCGTTTTGGTGGATTAGTGCATAAGAAACCAAAGTTTTCTTTGGTACCAATACTTATTAAATAATATTTATAAATTAAAAATATATCATCAATATTTAATATAATTTAATTATATTAATTTATTAATATATTAAATTTAATATTTTCAAAATTTCATAAAACATGTCTATTTAAAATTATTAAACATCTGGTACAATGAACGTGACTGATAATAAATCACATTATATTTCAAAATAAGATTTACAAATTCGATTTTACCACAACGTAATCTCATAAAATAATTATTTTTGTAAAATATTATCATATATTTAAAAATCTATGTATATAATAAGCATAATTATAAAACTTATATTGTTCAATTAATTAAAATAGATTTATTTTTGTATTAACTATACAAATAAAAAATTTTAAGCAGTTGAGTAATTTATTAAACTATAAATATTTGATTATTATATTTACAGAAGAAAAGGATTTTAAAAAGAAAAGGAAAAAGAAAATAAAGAAAGACGAAGCGAAATAGGAACTCCAAGAATAAATAATCTGGTCCAAGTTAATATTGACCCATAAGTTATGAATAATTACTTATTTAATATTTAAATTTGAAATCCAAATTTTGACTAGACAATAAATTCTTTTATATATTTCACACACACACACACAATATATATATATATACATATATATATTATCTCCCAATTTTTTAGATTTCTTGTCGGTTACTCTATCGCTCAAATTTATCTACTAATTTTCCAGAATTAAATTACAAATTTTAAATTTTAGTAACCAATATTTGTGTAAAGATCTTTTTGATTTTTAAGAGTAATATACCAATTTGTCAAATTATCGTCAATATCTTATGCAATTTATTATAGAAATATGTTAAAATTTGAAATTCATATCACCTTCATTTTATAATAAATCAACATAAATTCGACTTTCACACTCATACAAAAAAAATTCATACCACGTATTTTACTTTTAAAATTTTCAAATACACTTCCATACATACCAATAAAATTCAAAACCATTTAAATTCGGACACTTCGTACCAAAATAAAATCTCCCACTTTATACCATAAATTCGGACCTTTGTTAATAACAACGAATTTCCAACCAAAAATAAAAATGGACATTAAATACCTCAAATAAAATCGTTCACTTTATACCAAAACCGAATTTATTAATTTGGCCAACTTTATACCATAATTTTATTAACTAATTTATACAGACGGGATTTTTTGAAAATTTTAAAAAAAAGTTACCAAGTTTAGTGATTTTAAAATTTTTGGGTGGGATTTTAGTTTCTATTATAAGTAAATACAAACTTATATATAGAGATTGGTTGCAATGAGGACACATTCTTAAAATGAGTACGTGAGATTCAGTCTTAGTAATTAGATGGGTATCAAGATGTATGGTCAAGATTTAACTATTTAATTAAATAATAATTCTTTATTTTTTATTTTAATTATTCAAATATTATTTTGACCATTTTATCATTGACTGTTGACCGTTGTCCACGACGTTGACCGTTGACTTCCAGCATTGACAGTTTGAAGATTGTTAATCGAAAGAAATGCATGGTTGTCTTTTAGTAACCAAATAACACCCATCTTTCGAGATAAAGAAGAGGCGGGAGCTTTTGACTTCGATCTTGTTGGGATGTGAGCTCCCTTTCAATACCGCCCATACCTACCGACGTGGGAAAGAACCTAGCTAAACGCCTCATTCTGTAAACTCTCCCTTTGTTTTGTCTGCTGTATTTTTTTTCTCAACATTTATATTGAGGTCAATTACATAGAGCCTAAAACCCGAGGCATGATCAAATCTTCTAATTCTCCTGCCCTGTTTCAATTTCAACCAATCTGTAGTTGATAGTCAAGGCCGTGTAATTAATACTTGGGCTGATATCATTAACCGTGCTAACCTTGGTATGGAAGTTATGCAACCCAAGAAACAGGGGGCCGATCGCCTACCCAACCAGAACAAGTGCTAACGTGCCGAGGCGCGTAAATCGATTTTTTTTTAACTTCCGGCGAGACTCGTTGACTTTCGATGTCGCCCGTTGACTTTGGCGTTGACCCGTTGACCTTAGTATGCATTATGTATAAAGTAAATATACATTTAACATTATGCACTTAATATGAACTAAATATACATTTGATATTAATTGCATATGCAAATATTTATGAACTAAATATGCACTTAATATCAACTCACTTTTGGTGATTTGAGAGAGAGCAAACAAAAAGGTCGCAGGAAGCCGGTGAACCGCGTCAGGCAACTTAAAAGCAAGCGGTGCAATTATAGTTTGAGAATTTGCAAGAGTGGAAAATGGAGAGAAGTCAGGATCGGGGGTATATATAGGCGAGAAAAGTAAAAGGGGAGTTAACCTCGACCGTTGGATCGTGGCTGATATCAACGGTCGCAATTAGATGGTGTGAAGGTGAAAGGACGGGCCGCGTACAACTGTTACCGTCGGCTTAAAGGATGATCCAACGGTCGCAATCAATGGAGCATTTATTAGGTGTAGAGAATGAGGCAACACGATTCACGGGACAGTGATCTCAACAAGTCATGTGATTGGATGTGCCTGACACAGTGACAGGTCTGACAACACAGAAACTTGAAATTTGAATTTCAAAATAAGGACCAAGAGGGGACCGAAAAGCACAAAAGGAATAGCTGGCTGGTCGAAGTAAGATGGTACAGCCAGGTGGAAGAGCAACGACGGATAAGTCGAAGCCAAAGATCAGCCCAAATTAATAACCAGTCTACTCTTAGATCGAGTTATCCTAACTCGCGCGACCAGAGTGGGGGGGACCAGATGATATGGGATACCGAACCCTGATAAAATAAACTGAGTAAATCGGTCGATCTAGCTAAGGGAGCCGGCTGATCGAAAGCCACTAACACCAAACCAGGGGTCTTCTGATCGAGAAAACAGCACCAGGGATACATAAAGCAACGACAGGTCGAGCTAGGGCCCTCATATGGCTTGAGGGAAAATTCGACCTGTAGGTATGACTGCTCATACGATCGACCAGAACGGACAACGTGCACTCAAGACAGCTAACATTCTACCTTAGGGGAACAAGAACCGATGATCACATCAGGAGGCAAGTTTAGCATGAGAGGTTAAGCGATAAGAAGGAATCTTATAGTAATTAATGTTGCTCATGGGTTAGACTATGTGGCACTGTCTGGTTGGTCCACACCTCACAACCGTTTTGGCAGCACATGCAGCTTGGGATGTACTATCGGGCAGCTCGGGCAGTCTTGGACAACAAGGTATCATCTCCCTATATAAGGGAGTGATGTATGTCTATTATCACATTTACATTCTCCGCTGTGGGAGTTCTTGCAGGTCCGCAGGCGATCTACCGACGAAGAAGCTTAAGCTCAGACCAATTCCAGCCAGTCCAAGGTCTTTTGCTTACCAGCACAGTTTATGACTAAATATAGATCCTAAATGAATTAAATGTGCATCATGTATATAATTAATTTAAATATAACAAATATGCAATATGGATGAACTAAATATGCATTTCGTATGAACAAAGTATGCATCATGAATGAACTAAATATGTATCATGTATATATTTAATTTAAATATAACAAATATGCACTATGGATGAACTAAATATGCATTTTGTATAAACTAAACATGCATCATGAATGAATTAAATATGTATCATGTATATATTTAGTTTAAATATAACAAATATGCACTATAGATGAATTAAATATGCATTTTTATGAACTAAATATGCATCATGAATAAACTAAATATGCATCATGTATATATTTAATTTAAATATAACAAATATGCACTATGAATGAACTAAATATGCATTTTGTAAGAACTAAATATGCATAATGAATTAACTAAATGTGCATAATTTTTATATTTAATTTAAGTATAACAAATATGCACTATGGATGAACTAAATATGCATAATGAAATAACCAAATATGCATTATAACCTAAATATGCATTTCTTAATTTATAACTGAAATATGCATTGTGTATTATCTGAATATGCACAAGAACTAAACTAAATATGCATTAATTTTAAATATAGAAACTCTAGGGCCATATTGTAATTATTCAAACGATAAAAAAAAATACAGATTGAATTGAAGGATCTAATTGCAATAACTTATTGTAGTTTTTTTTACCAGAGTTAATTCAAGAGAATCGATCCCTGGTCGTATCCCAAGAAATGTTAGCTGGAGTATTTTGCACGATTATTCACACACAAAAAGAGAAAAATAATTCCTAAACTCTAATTCAATTTGATTCTGATTTCAGTTAGCAACTAATGATTCTCGAACAATGCAAACACAATTTTCCAATTCCAAACAAAATTTAGATAATAATGAGAAGGTTAGGGAGTCATAGATAATCGTTTTTGGTTGTAAATGAAATTGATGAGCAAACAGTCGATCGGTTAAGGGTGAAAATAACCTACTCATCTAGAGGTTTATTCTTAATAACTTTTCGTAACAAGAGAACAAACATGAATGATCAATTATCGAAACATTTAACACATAGGTAATACATTTACGAACAAACCTATTCTAAATGAGTCAAGATCGATCAACTTCTCCCATTTCGGTTCTACAAGTTGATTAATTAGATTGGAATGATGATCAAGCATCTAACCCCAAGTTCAACTCAACTTGAATAAATTGAACGACAAGCAAGCACATGAATCTCCGAACTAGACCAATAATCTCATGTCCACAAAGAAACGAATTAGCTACTCATATTAATATCGACCACAACAAAAGATTCAATGAGATAATTCACATCCATAATCAAATGAAAGGAACTTACGATCAATCCAAGCCGAGAAACGAATTCAAATTCCAAGCCAAACTGCGTCCGTCTCGGAGTATCACTCTCTAAGATCATATGGAAGCAAAATTAAGAAAATCAATGTTTGGAAATAGAGAAAGAAAATAAAATGCAGTTTGGGAATGCCCCCTAAGCCCTAAGTTCGATTCCCTTTAAATAGCCTTCCAAAAACAACCAATAAAAATCAGTTTCAAATTTTGAAAACCGCCGACGTCGTGTCATGGCGCGACAAGTTGATGTGGCATGTCGCGAGATTGGCTGCGTGCTCGGTCACGACACAAGTAAACTGTAGTGCCACGGCGTGAGGCCTGGATGACCCAATGTCTCTGTCGGGTCGCGAAGAGTGCCGCGCGCTTGGTCGCGCCGCGAGTGACTTGTTGTGCTACGGCGCGAACCCTGGGAGACGAGGGCTCTCTGTCGGGTCGTGAGACGTGTCGCGCTCCTAGTTGCGGCGCGAGTGAATTGTTGTGCTGTGGCGTGAGACCTGCCGCGGCGTGACACTTAGGAGACAAGCGCTCGCTGTCGGGTTGTGAGACATGCGCGCGCGACGCTGTTACTGTCACGACGCGAGGACTGAAAAAACTGAAGAGGTCGTGCACGAAGCAAAAGGTGCTGCACTCGGGGATGCACGATGTGGAAAGAGTGCGCGAGCACGCGCGCGTGTGAGGGTTTGGACATACGTTTCTCAGGTTCTACCCAAGCAAGTGGCTACACGGAGGTTGGACTCTCGCGATTCTAATGACAAAATTTTTAAAATATGATACAATTATCTAACTTTAGAAATGACCAGTCAATGGGCCACGACCCGGCCCGCGGGCCTCCCATGGGTGACCCTTAACCGTCCCGCCAAAAACCAAGGGCCGAGCCCGTGAACCGGCCCTGTCCCGGCCCGACCCCGATCTGGTCTCGGCCCAATCCCAGACCGCCGAGACCAAAAATGGAAAAATCAGACCCGTTTCTGAATCGTAAAGCCACGGTTACGGTTCTCGGAACTAGCAACCTACGGCCGGTTGCGGGCCAGGCCGGGACCGGGACTACAGGTTGGGCCGACCCGTGGCCATGTTTATCTAACTTATAATTTTAATATTATATGCATACATATAATTTATAATAATTTAAACATTTGTGCATGTGCATTACTAGTATAAACAAATAAATAGCGTGATCAGGGTCGAATCTCTCTCACGTGATTGTCGTCAACCTCTTGAAAATAACGAACCCGAAAAGCGGGAAACTCAAAACCAAATAGGGTTAAATCTTCCCCACGCATACACATCAATTCGTGTCTCTATCCCCTTTCTACTTGGATAGTATTTATACAACACATTCAGAATCTAATCCACAAATATCTTCTTCCAACTATAGCAGTATGGAAGAGGTTAGGTCAACCTCCGCCTGGGTTGCCGCTCACTCCTCCCATGTCCTCATCGACTCCTCAGGTTCTCTAATGCGCCGTCATTTTACCCTTTTCTCAGTTCTCTGCTACTAAGTTGAAATTGCTTGTTAAATTGGTTCCACATTATGTTGCTTTATCCAATTGTAACTTTCTTTTGTTTTTGTAGTTGCTGGTTGAATTTCTTGTTTTCGGATTTGAAATTGATCGATTGAGGTTTTTTGTTTTTATTATAGGTATTGAGAAAGTGGCGGAGGAAATGAAAGATTCAATCCCGAAGGTGGAGTGGAATTTCGAGGGGATTCATTATTTTGATAATACCCCTCTCACTGTTCAGTATCTGCTTGTCCTGGATGCTCTAAATTTCTGCTTTTGGCCGGGTATATAAATAATATCATGATTTTTCTGAATTTTATTGGCTAGATATATCTCGTGATACTCAGATTGATGCAAACCCAATGGGTTTACACATTTATGTCTCTCTTTTCTGTTGAATTGTGTTACATGGTTCTGATGGAAACTTTGTAATTTGATCGATTAAGTATTGGTATTTTTCAACCTTGTGTTGCGTTCTATGTCTGGTCAAATGGCCGTTTATTTGTAGAATGTACAAGACAATATGGTTTATTGTCGACCTTCACCACTCATGGTGTTTTTTGTTAGTTTTCTTATTCTTTTTTCGGTTCTCCCAACTGTAGATAATGAAATGAGTTATGATCATCTGGCTGCGGGATTGAAGGAAGCACTTGAGAATGATAAGTCTGCTTTTGATGCTGACCGTCTGCAGAAGTACACTGGTACAGATAGTACAGTATTTGCATTAGGCATTTCATTGTTAAGTACTTTATTTTTCCTAATTATCTTAAAATGCATTTCATCATAGAGTGAGTACAATCATACAATTATGAAGTCAATTTGAGTTTTTGACAGAGGACTAGGATTCTTTTAAAAAAGAACCAGTCTTTCTGTTGCAAATGTAGCCTTGTAGTGTTTTAATTATTGCCTTCGTCAAAGTTACATGGTTCACACTGAAGATTATGTTTAACAGGTCCTGATTTACGTAAAATGTTGAAATGGCCAAGGCCGTTACCTTTGGAGGATGAACGAGTGCGCTTAATTCATGAGGTGCTGGATTTTGCAAAATGATAACATGTGTTTTTCCTTAGTTTGAGCTATTCTTCAATTTTTTAAAAATTTTCGATGGCATTTCTTTTGTTTAGCTGATAATTCTGTTGTGGTTGTCTAGGTGGGGTTTGAACTGGAGAGATCTTTTGACGGGAAAGCATCCAAACTCATTGAGTCCAGTGAGAAATCTGCTGCAAAACTTGTGGCTCTTATCACGAGCCACTTTCCTGGTAATTCAAATTCATTACACTTCTTAAGCCAACTTCAGCGGATTTTCTTTAAAATCTTCTCTCATTTGAACCTTAAACTATCCAGCACTAAAATATGCAAAAAATAAAGCTGCGTACAATTTTGCAGGTTTCAGGGATCACACAGTGTACAAAGGCCACCAAATTTTCTTGTATAAAAGAGCTCAGATATTTGCTGCAGATTTATGGGGTGCATTCAAAGGTCAAGGGTATGGTGAATTTAACGACATAGAATCAGTGACTATGTTTGCAGACTATATCATCCCTGCAGTCCTTCAGAAGCTTGGAGTACTGAAATTTAGTCCTTCACTCACGAATATGATTGAGTCTAATAAGGAAATCGGTTCAGGAAGTGAGGAGGAAGTTGAACTTAGGGCGTGCACTGTGCATGCTGTGGAGGAAATAAGGGAGTTGATCCACAAGAAATCAAGAAAGCAGGTCGAGTTTTATTTGCCTCTGTTTTATGTTGAAATTGTTTTTCTGTTACTCCAGGGTTACTAATGGAGAATAACTGGAGTCTAATTTGGCGTTTTAGGGATTTGATTTTTGTGATCACTATTGACACGGTTTTCTAGTACATTGACATTCGTGATGTTTTTTTTTNTGGAATCTATATTAGGACACTAGACTGAGTCACAGAAGTCGTGTATACTATAATAAAGTTATAAACCTTATTAGAGAAAACTGAAAATTTTTGGATAAAAAAGTTTGTTTTTGCAGAGTAGCAAGTTGCTTAAACTTCTGTTGTTCCTGATTTTCTCAGCAAGTGAAGATGCATAAATTGTCTTCATATTTCCCAATGATAGTAGCTCAGAAATGATGACATTTCTGTCATTATTAGTTCCCTTTTTAGTGTTTTAACAGCTTGAATTTACTTGTAAACATCTGTCTCTGAGGAGTTCAAAGATTGATTGACCTAAGAGAGTTCCTCATGGTAAATCTACCTTTATGAAATGCTTGCTCGTGAATATTGTTTGTCCCCTCAAAATCATGCAGAGTTTGCAACTAGTAGTTATTGCTTAGTTTCTACAAAATTCAATTTCGTGTGTAAACGGTGGTAATTCGTTTATCTCCAATATTATGTATACCTATTTTAACCAGTAATCACAGAGAGCAGGTAGAAATTAAGCTCGTTTTGAAGTTCTGGCTTTATCTTAAGCATTTGTGTATGTTTGTGTGTGTATCATATTGTTTCTTTTACTGTACAATTGTCCGGTAACTTGTTCATATTTGGTTTGTGTGCTCGCTTCATTAGTTCTTCCAGGTGGTATTTTGATCATCCAAATTATATATGATAAATACTAGCAAAAATGTTTTCTATCGAGATATCCTTTGGAATCGTAAACGAACCGATTATCCCTTATTCGGAAAAGTATATAGAGTCGAGTTTTTATTTATTTATTTATTTTTTTCGGTACAGGTTCTGAGTGTGGAGTTGGACCTGTGGCTCTGGGCTTTCGGTATTCAGTGTTCTTCCCTTCAACACCATCGAACACTCTCCATATATTATTGAGCGGCAAAAGGTAGTTATCGGGTTCTTGAGGTGCCTTCATCAAACAATGGCGCTTTTATGGATTGCTATTTTGAGTACCTCTCCCCTTATTACCTTTTGTAGAATGGTTCTGAAGTTGACATTTGCGAGTAGTGTAGGTTCTTTCCTTAACATTATTCAACAGCCTAACAGTAATTCTCTTTAGAATAACGTTTGTGAAAAAAAATATTGAAACTTGAAGCTTATAAGAATAAGCATAAACGATTTTGCAGGGAAAAGGAAAAAAATTGTCGAATGTCATACTGAAGTGTCGCAAAAAGCAAGGCTAGCCGATTTTTATGTATCGCTTTATAACTAAACAACATGCCATCATGATTATATTGCAAATTCTAATAATGTTGTGATACTTGATGCGAATATCTAAATGTTGTGATAATTGATGCAAATAATTTGATTTATTGTTTTGTAAATAAATTAAAGGTGATATATAAAGTAAATATGTAAAAAAATGTGACGATGAAATTTCAGATTGAGATACTATTAGCTATTCTGTCAATTATTAAACATTATGTAAATAGTTCATCCCATGACCCCTCCTTTATTGGAAAAGATGATGTGTGATATCGATGTATTTCGGTAATTTTCATTATATGCAAAATCAAGCTAATAGAATGAATATCATTGAGTGTTGGCCCGTGATTGTATATGAATTGTACATTAAATATCTCAATCAAAACTTAAATTTAATTTTATTTTAACTCAATTCCACTATCTCCAATATTATCAATATAATTAAATAATATCAACCAATCATTATTACACATCACATCAATTTTAATTCACTATTTATCTACTCACATAATTTTAACTAATCATCAGTTCCAATCATTTTCTCCTATTTTTTCATCAAATCAACTTTAATTATTTTAATTTAAATATTATTTTAATATATCCACTAACAACTAACCATACTACTTTTTTTAAACTTAACTATAATTAAAAAATAACCAATTTTTTACTAGTTGAATTCATATCCAATCACCCCTTAAATTCCCATTCCAATATATAACAAGATTAATTCTGGCCGCTCTTTATTTGGTGATGATGATGATTCGACTTTTCACTTGGCATTTTGGTGTAGTTTACTGGAGAATGGCGTAACCATTACCAGGATTGACAGATCATTGAAGAATAATTATGTACTAGCACAGTATATGCAATTACACGGGTATTAATTAAGAAATATATATTTTTTTAAATATTAATTAGTTTTTAGAACATTGTGCTATTATTTATATTCAAAATGAGATTGTTCACTTGTATGATTTGTCTTTTTTTATATTATAGTAATGTTTCTAATTCATATGTAATGAATTTATAAATGACTTTTAAAATTGATACATCACATAATATCATCAAGTCCAAAATAATATATCATATAACCCAGTTGATAAGAAAAAGGCTCACGATTCAAATGGATTACTATTAGAAAATAATTTTAAGGACAAAGAAACAAGGTCAAAGGAACTAAGTCGAAAATCGCCTGCTCATAATCATTCATGCAATTTTTCCAAGTAAGGCTCAAGGAAAATTCGAATAACACGGGAACCCCATCGATACCACATACAAGGATTAAAGGCTCAAATCTCACTAGATTCAATAAATCGCTAATTCAAGGCTCACAAGTATTTCCATCTAAGCATGACTTTTACAATCCCATCACAATTCCTCAATCACATCAAATCACCATTCACTATTCAAAGTTTTGCCACCAATTAGTCAAAACAAAAGAAATACACAAGAAACCGACTCAAGCAAATTAGTACTATATGCTAATAAAGCAATTAACATGCATCCAAAAAATAAAAATAACCTAAAAATAAATAAATAAAAATCATAAAAATAAAAACTAATGCAAGCAATTATATGATATGCAATAAAGCGACAAAAGCTCAAGCGACCTGTTACACTAGCTTAACTGGCCATTACTTCGGTCCAATAGGTCGTTAGGTCGATAGTTTGAACTAATGGTTCCGCCAATCTTTAGTTGGTAAGATAGAAAGGAGGTGTATTCAATTGGGATTTCAAGTGATATTTTGAGACTTTTTAAGATTTGAGATTTGTTAAGATTTTCAGATTTTGGAGAAATTCCGTGAAATCCTAAGTCTAGAGGTGGGATTTGAAGTAGGATTTCGTATAAGGTTTTTTGTTTAAATCCCACCAAATCCTAAAAAGTCTTAACAAATTCTAATGTCAAATAAATTAAATAACTCAGGATTTTATAAGATTTTTTAAAATCCAAATTGAATACCCCATGATTTTTAAAAGACTTAAAAAATCTTAACAAATCTAAATTGAATACACCAGGATTTCTAAAGTTTTAAAAAGTCCTTAGGCCATCTCCAGCCCTTATCTCTACTCTAGCGCGGACTTTACTCTACTCTAGAGTAGAGTTAAACATTCATCTCCAGCCCTTATCTCTACATTTTACTCTACATTAAATATATTATTTTTTTATTCATTTTTTATTTCAAATAAATTGGTATATATGTATATTTAATCTTATATAAAATGTTAATTACTCAAATAATAAAAATATATTTTATTTCGAATAATTTGCTATATATATGAATATGTAATATTATATAAATGCTTATTACCCAAATAGTAAATAATTAGTGCAATTTTACACACTAGACCATATATGGTTTAGACCATATATGAATTAGTGCAAATTTACACACTAGACCATATATGGTTTAGAGCATATATTCACATTTAAAAAATAATTGTAATAAATTGAATTTCTTAAAGAAGATACATATACATCTATGTACCGATTGAATCAAAACTGTTACTTTTGAAAATATATGAATTAGTGCAAATTTACACACTAGACCATATATGGTATAGACCATATATGAATTAGTGCAAATTTACCCACTAGACCATATATGGTTTAGACCATATATGTCATCTTTAATCATGTTGTGTTTATTTGTGTGTTAAGTCATTTTTAATCATGTTATTTTTATTTATGTTCTATGATTTTATGTGTGTTGTAAACTTAATTTTAATGAAATAAACTTGTTTGAGTGTGTTAAATTTTTATTCATATAGTATCATTTTAATATTAAAAAATTACAAAATAAAATTATAATACATCAATAAATAAAAAGCACAAAATTATTTAGCATAGAAAATACATTACACAATTATTTAGCATAAAAAATACATTCACTAATACACATTATACAAAAATTTATCAATAATATTACAATAAAAGGAAAGCAAAAAAAAAAATATAACGCTGCTACAGTGTTGCGGCAGATGTGGCGCAACACTGTAGCTTTCTCCAAAATAGAGCTAATTTGTGGCGCAGCATTGGGGAGGGATTTTCGCTACAATAGAGTAGAGATGGGCTATGTGGCGCAGCATTGCGAAAGCTCTTAAAAATCCTAATTGAATACAAGTTGAAAGCTCTAGTCTATTGTCGTGTTATAATATGCCATATTATATACCATAATTTACCCATTGATGATTTTTTAATGGAAAAGGAATATTTAGTTAAACACTTATTTATTAAATATACATGTGACGTTTTATAATGTGTAATATTTAATTGTAATATGAAATAATAGTAAAATAATAGTTAATAATTATAGATATGCAATTGAATGAATTATAAACTTTAAGGATAAATATCATGTAACAATTAATTTTTAATGTAAAAATTGTGCTGAAAAAATGTGATCGATACTCTCTTTTTATTATTATTGAAGAAAAAAAAAAAAAATTCATTATCCTTTCAACATCAACCTCCTCAAGTCAAGTGGCACATGTCGACAGGCTTCACCAACTAGCATTTACATAGGTGGGGGCAAAATATGATGTTTTGATCTGCAAACATTTTCCCGAGTGTCGCGGCTTTCAGATATATGAGTCTAAACCATGCGATCTTTCCACCACTAATTGAAGTTCTCCACTTGTTCTTGTAGATGCGTTTATCCTAATTTGCATCAACTTAAATACAAAATAAATTAAACCGCCTTTTCCTCAACTAATTAAATCAGATCTTATAAACATCTTCAACCTCCGCTNAAAAGATAATTCTTGTACGTAGATACATTAGAAACGGTACACAATTTGACTAAAATTACAAAAAAACTATCTGGTGATTATTTGAGATTTATATTAGCTAAAATAACTCAATTTATCATGCACGGGACGGGAGGAGTGCGTTCGATTCAACCCACGTCATTTTCTCGACTTAAATTGACACGATAAATAGACATAATAAACTTAGAATGATGTCAGTTATGGAGATATTATATCCTTGCAATTACGTTAGTAACCAAAAGCTCATCCCCTAAAAATTGGATATATTTTTTTTTCTAAGTGTAACGCAAAATTCGTATTATTGAATTAATAAACACGAGAACTTCGTACAAATGGATTTCAACGGATCAAATGAAATATAGTGGATTCTAAATCTCTATTATTCCTCTGATTAATTTCTTCAAGAACGATCTTCAAGTGGATTTGAGACTTTTGGAGACGAATCTTCAGTTTGATCTCCGCAGGTCTTGAATTTGGATTTAAATAACGTTTCTTCGAGGGCTTGGTAGCTTGATCTCGAATCGAACGCCGTGATTTCCCAAGAACGTGAATAACACGAGTCCTTGGTCTTCGCCGCAAAGTTGATTTTGATCTTCTCTACGCCGGTCTTGACTTTAATAACGCAATTCGGAGGCTTGGCAGCTTATTTCCGGATTGAACGTCGGTTTTGAGCTTGAACGCGCTTGAATCTTCCTTCGAATCTTCAAGAACGCCTTTGGATCTTCAAGAACACTTGAATCTCGTGGAGAGAATTCTCTAGAGCTCTTGAACTTGGAACTTGAAATATGAATATGAATGGTGATTTTTCACCTTAGGGAGGGTCCCTATTTATAGGTGTTAGGAGAGAGAGTCTTGGAAAAGAAGACTTCATTTTGATTGGTCCATAATTTCCAATATTTATTTATTAAAGAGATAATTAGAAGATGGACTCTTGGAAAAGAAGACTTCATTTTGATTGGTCCATAATTTCCACTTATTTATCTCTTTAATAATTATTTAAAGAAATAATTATTTATTTTACTCTCCAAGAAAATGACATGTGGCATTCTTTAATTGGCCTTCAAAATATACATGTGGCATTCTTTA